CCGACCAGAACTGGCCCAATAAAGGGACTGCCAGATTCTACGTGTGTAGTGGGGACCCGCATGTGGTCCCCTTCCTGGATGGTGCTCTGCAAAGAATGAGGAAGAACGAAGACGCGGTCTTTCTGGAGTTTTGAGGATCCTATAACGGTTGGAGTAGACAGAATCTTCCCTACGGGGAGGATGCTCGATCCAGACTCGAGCTGGAGTTCTCTTGGTCGGGGACACTGCTCGTTGCGGGTAGCGGCAGGCATTACCGCTGTAGTCTGTGGTCGAACACGTTCGGTGATGGTCTGATTATGAGCACTCTCCGAAGAGCTGCTTGGATCTGGACCTTTATTTGCACTTTGGGCCAAGATGGGCCCAGTCCAGAACAAAAGTTATTGTTCATTGTATTTGTAAACAATAAACTATAGTGTAAATGTAACATTTTGTGTCAAAATAAGATTACTCACGGTAGTATTGACGCTTTCACAACCGCTATATGTGTCACATCAATCACAATACAATCGCATCCACGATTTAAAATCATGTTTTAAATTACTGAAATTTTTTTATAGGCAAATCTAAATTACTGAAAATTAAAGTGAAGTTGTTGTGTCCGACGTGCCAATTAATGTTGAGCACAAAGATTAATAAATAGTGGTTCTGAGGAGGTGACAACCGTAATTTTTGTTGGTGTGTGAAACTGGCACAAACAGCAAATGTGTTTCTAAATAAATTTGATTCATCCATATTACCACACTGTTAAAATATTCATGTTAAAGTATTTGAGAATGCATTCTTGAGACAAATATTGTTAATTCTAGCCAAGCAATTGGACTAAAGTGATAAAGGAACTCCTACTAATAAAGATATTTGATAATTCCTGAATTCGATTCTTAGTAAATAATAATGTTTAATTAATGTTCATATCTCATTTCACGAGTTCTGAATTAATAGGATCTCATTCTCTGAATATTTTTTATTAATAACCAAGTATTAAAATAATATTTCGCAAATAACCGGGTTTCGGAAAAAATTACGCAAATAACCATGTTTGAGATGGCTCCACAAAGGAGGAGCCATCTCAATTGGCGCATGCTCCTCTTTTTTTAAGGGAGGCGCCATCTCACTTGGCGCCTAAGTGCTTAGGGCAAGTCCTAAGCCAAGTGAGATGGCGCCTATGTACAAAATTAGGGCAAAAAAATTTTTTTTTTATTTTCTTTCCTGCGCGTTGCCTATTAGACAGAGATCAACAAAATGGATTTTTTATTTAAAAAAAAATAATTACATTCAACTGTTTTACATTTAAAGAACAGTAAAAAAATGGATACAAAAAATACTGGGAAAAAAAAAGATACATCAGTGATCCCCAGGAACCCGGTAATGACCCCCAGTTCCGCATCCCCGTCCTCGCCTTTCTCTTGCTGGGTGCCGTCTCGTTTCCTGCTGCGGCAAGGTCGATGGCCCAGCGAAGTCAATACGATCCGAATCCATAAAATCAGTAAGATCTCCATATCTCGAAGATCCGCTCTGGTACAGTCGGTTACCCATACCCTCGAAGTTTGGTCGTGTTGGCGGTGGGTGGGGTTCCATGGTTGGTCGGTAGCATTGGTCGTCTGAGTATGGGGGGTAGAAAGGAAATGGATCTTGGGGTGTTTGGTATTGTGGATGTTGGGTTGTTTGGTGATATGGTGGTTGATGGTAGGTTTGGTCGGCTTGATCATAATCTTCTGACATTCCCATATCAGGTGGATCGTGTAAACCCGGAAAGGTACAAGATCAAGTGTGTCCACCCTGACTGTATGTTCAAGCTGACCGCTTCATACAGACTAAGGGGTGACTGCTGGGTCATAGGTTCCATGACTACCCATACTTGTGTAAGTTCCACTCAATCACAAGACCACCGAAAACTCAACCATGATCTAATCTGTCAAGAAATCCTACCCATGGTCAGCAACGACCCTTCTTTGAAGGTGAAAACAATCATCTCCCACATCACCACGGTTTTTAACTACACTCCGTCTTACCGTAAGGCGTGGTTAGCAAAGACTAAGGCGATTGAAAGGGTGTACGGAAACTGGGAGGAGTCATACCGAGAACTTCCCCGCTACCTAAATGCACTCAAGACATATTCTCCTGGTAGTGTTTATGTTCTGGAAACATTGCCAGCGTACGCCCAAGATGGTAGTCTACTACATGGCAACGGAATATTCAGTCGCGTCTTTTGGGCATTTCAACCATGCATCACAGGGTTTGCATCATGCAAACCAATTCTACAAATAGACGGGACTTGGTTGTATGGGAAGTACAAAGGCACGCTTTTGATGGCAGTTGCACAAGATGGCAACAATAACATTTTCCCCGTTGCGTTTTCCCTTGTCGAGGGGGAGACCGGTGGTGCTTGGAGCTTTTTCCTGAAAAATCTTCGTACACACGTGGCTCCTCAACCAGATCTCTGTTTGATCTCGGACAGACATGCCTCCATTGAAAGTGCCTATAATAATCCGGCAAATGGTTGGCATGACCCTCCTTCTACGCATGTCTATTGCGTCAGGCATATCGTCCAGAATTTCTCGAGGGAGGTCAAGGACAAAACATTGAGGAAAGCGGTGATGAATGCGGGATACGCACTGACACAGCCCACATTCAAATAGTACCGCAACGAGATCCGTTTGTCTAACCCAGAAGCCGGTACGTGGATCGACAATATACCGGTCGAAAAGTGGACTAGGTCATACGACAATGGCCAAAGATGGGGGCATATGACAACAAATCTTATTGAATCAATGAATGGGGTATTCAAGGGCATACGAAACCTCCCCATCACTGCCTTGGTGAAATCCACGTATTTTAGGATGGCTGCGTTATTTGCCAAAAGAGGTGAAATGTGGTATGCGGTCTTGCAATCAGGACAACTATGGAGTGAAAGCTGTATGAAATACATTAAGGCTGAAAGTGCTAAATCCAACACTCACATGGTTACACGGTTTGACCGCCATAGCCACAACTTCATTGTGAAAGAGACAATTGACCACAATGAAGGCCTGGCAAGACAAGAATACAGGGTCATTTTACCTTCTCAATGGTGCGATTGTGGCAGGTTTCAAGCTTTTCGTATGCCTTGCTCTCATGTCATTGCCGCTTGTTCTCATACCCATCAAGACGCGCTTCAACTGCTCTCAAACGTTTATAAATCTGAAACGTTGCTCACTGTTTACAACAACAACTTTCCTTTGGTGGCAAAACCGGACTATTGGCCTGAATACAACGGTGATATAGTTTGGCACAATGACCAAATGCGAAGGAACAAGAAGGGTCGTCCCAAAAGCAGGCGCATAACAACAGAAATGGACGATCTTGACAGGTTGGAAAGAAAGTGTGGTTTATGCCATCAGGTCGGACACAATCGCAAAAACTGTCCGAATCGGGCGTCTGGCTCGACCACATAAATTTTGTAATACAATAAATCTTTTCAATATTTGTGTTGTAAACATTATGGGTTTTCCGTTAATAAAATTGTTCACACAATTTAAGAAATTCAATATAGGAAATTACATTAGGGTTTTCGCGTACAACAATGATTAACGATATTCAATCTAGGAAATTACAACTGTTAACACAATTTCATCTGACCCATGCATCATCAGCATTACATCACTGTCTGTTTTGACTTCCTCCAACCACACATTAGGTCTTCCTGTCGCATGCGAGGTTGTTGTTCGTTTTCGCTGGATCCTTCGAATTTTTTCCCCCTCGGCGATGTCTCCATCTAGCCACCGCATCAACTCCCGCTTCAGACGCTCCATGGAGTGAATGTGCCAGAATTTCATTTTCATCGCAGGTTTCGTGGCGGAGAATATAACGTAACCATCTCTGCTAAAAATCATAGGCGACGTCATTACGTAAATAATGGAGTACAAAATAAAAATACAGTGCGAGAAAGTGTGAGAAATTTCAAAGAAACGGACGAATTATTTATAAAACAGCAAAAAACCCTAGTTTTGCCCTAGGCGCCAAGTGAGATGGCGCCTCCTCTCATTTTTAAGGAGCATGCGCCATCTCACTTGGCTAAAAGACAAGGGAGGCGCCAAGTGAGATGGCGCCTAGGGCAAAACCCTAGGTGGAGGCGCCAAGTGAGATGGCTCCTCCTTTGTGGAGCCATCTGAAACATGGTTATTTGCGTAATTTTTTCCGAAACCCGATTATTTGCGAAATATTAATTTAATACATGGTTATTAATAAAAAAAATTCTCATTCTCTAGTGTGAAAAAACAAAACAAAAAAGAGTTAATTCTCTCTGTTTTTTATTATTTAAATTTAATTTAATATATAATTATTTAAATTTAATTATTAAAAAATCATATGTAAATAATATATTTTACAAATTTATAACTACAATTACTTTTAATATCCATGAAATTTATAAGCAATCTTATAATAATAAGAATATTACCATACTATTGAATTGATAATGGGTTACATCTAATTTAATGATCAACTATCATTGTTGTTGATGATCGTCGCCATGACCAATGTCCTTCATCGATTATGCTTACATTACTACTAGAATTATTATTAATATGTCATGTGATATCCATGAGATGAGACCCGTCTCTGAAGAATTAGTATTATCAAAATTTAATGTGATATATGATATATTGGGCTAGTACTTTAGTTATTTTCCTTTTTTTTCCAAAACTTAATAGTTTAACACCCTGGAATAAACCATGTATTAACAGCTGCATGCTACTTTAAGGTGCTACTCATCTCCTTTCTCTCAACTCACGAGGAGAGAAAGAGAGAGAGGAACAGATTCTAAAGTATAATGGAATACTATAATTAGTGAAATTATATACTAATACTTATGTTCGGTAACTCTGTGGGTCACCACTGTCGCACGTTTAGGACTTTTCTCTGTAACTTTGAGAATTTAGTATGTGTAACTTTTGTCTCAATGTGATTTTTCACCGTAATTTTCAAGTTTTTCAAACACACTATTGATTTACTCTTTTATACAGTCAAGTACAGTCCAGGGGCTTTCTGTTCTGCGAAGATTTTTGCATTTCAGTCTCAGCTCTCTTTATATTTTCAATAATTAGTTGAATTTTTGTGGACATTCCCTCTGTTTCTTCCTCGAGATTGTTTATGAAGCTGAGTAGCTTTTCTCTATATGCAGTACAGAGTTCATCTTGGCGCTCCAACTCCATAGTAAGTTCTGCAATTTTCTTGTCTTTATCGTCCTACAAGTAGAGGGAAAATTAAATTAAAACGGTAAGGATCGACAGATCAAGTAGAGTTTAAAATTAATTCTCGTATGGTTCATTGATTACCACACAACAGACATAACAAAAGAGTTGTGATGTAACTCAACTACTTACTTCTGATGTATATGGTTTGATTGTCCTATCACCTAGGGTGCATCAAACAATGTTGTTAATTGTGGATCAAACATAATAAGGGTTTATTCAAATTCCATTATGCAATAGTGTTATAGCTATGTTGTAATCGCTATCTGACAAAAACTGATACCGCATAGCATATCACAAAACAATAACAATTTGTTCAAATTTTTTACGTTACAGTACTATAGCAGCTATTTAACAACACTGGCATTAAAGTGATCAAATGCAACCCTTATCTTATTACTAGTTTCTAAGAAACATAATTTCTAGACTTCATCAATTTCATGAAAATAGACATGTGAGACTTAAGCTATGACTGAAAAAGGATGTTTGAGTGGGATGAAATGGAAATATTTGGAAAGTGCATCAACCACTACAAACACATCATCATTCCCTCTAAACTTTGGAAGGTCCGTTGTAAAATCCATCGACACGTCCTCCCACACCATTTATGAAATTGCTAGGGGCTGAAGGACACTGCCAGGAGAAGTGGCAAGGTATTTTTGCATTTGACATACATCGCAAGACCTCACATAATCTTGAACTCTTCCCTAAATGCCAACCCAATATACATTAGCAGCCAAGCGTAGGTTCGGTAAAATCATGAATGCCCCTTTGAGAAGCTGCGTGAAACTTATGGAGCAATATGGGAATTATTTCAGACTTGGACAAGTATCACTAACTTTCCCTAATAATGCAGCACTCCTTGCCTGTATGTAAACACAGGCCTCTTTCCTGTGTCCTTTATTTCACCCAATTATTTTGAGTAACAAAGGATCCTTATGAATTTCTTCCCGCAGCTGTGAGCCAACCTCCAACTGTGGGTTAGATACAAACACTCTCAGTTCAGTTGGTTCATTGACCCGAGAGAGGGCACCAGCCCCCTGTTCTTGACACCCTTGTATGCTTTGTCAAAGTTATTGCCCAGTAATTTTGCAATTCACTTATGTCGGTCAGTAATTGATATGCGCTGCTGCAACAGTTGTCCTAAACTCTTCTGATCATTATATACGTCAAAATATCGCCCCAACAGCGCGGTGGCTGGCCGCGATCAGAGAAGTCATAAAGGCGCAGTACAGAGTCGTGCGAGCTATTTTCTGTACAGAGTCGTGGCCACTATTCCCTCTCTCCCACCCTCAGATTTTGTGGCCCCTCTGCATTCTCATCATTCCTTGTTTTCCCCATCAATGAGCAGAGCATTCCCCTTACAGGTTTTCTTGGACTTACCAAAATGCATTGTAAGGACGGATGCTTGTGCCTCCCTCCTAAAGTATTCAGCACAACCCACGGTCCAGCTTTCCAAAAGTGCATTATCTGTCGATCCCAATTTAGAAACATGTTCTCAAATGTCTCAAGCCAAGAACTTCCCAAACTTACATCCACTCCACTCCCTCCTCTGTAAGCAAGTGAGAATCGATATGAATATTAGGTAGTACCCTCCAAACTCAACTTCATGCCTTTAAACATGCCTTGAGTCATGGCACTGTAGCTGTCACCCAGTTTAATTTTCATATCTGGGTTGTTTTCCACTGTCCATCCCAACTTCATCACTAACTGTTGGGAAATGAAATTGTGGGTAGCGCCACTGTCCACTATCACCAAAACAAAAGCTCCATGGATACTGCCTTCAGCTTGACAGTCTGGGGTCTCTCCTTTCCCTCCACAGTTAACCTGTTTAGTGTCATCACCTTAAGTTCACCATCAGCTGCATCCTTGGTGTCTACTACTTCCACTGCCAGAAACTTCCCCTCATCATTGTCACCCTCCTTCTTATCCACTACTAGTACTCTAAGTTGCTTACCGGGACATCAGTGCAAGGGTGAAAAGGAACCTAGCATTTATAGAACAACCCTTTCTGCTTCCAGTTTTTCTTTTTCGGTAGCCCATAACATAAGAACTACGTAGTTAAGTGTGCTTGACTTGAAGTAATTTTGGAATGGGTGACACTAAGGGAAGTTTCCCAAAAAGTGTATGAGAGGTTAAAACACGCTAAAACAACTTGTGTTGGTTTGTGAGGATAGTCGGCAATACTTAAAGTAGTTTGGGATGTCATCTAATGCATGCAGTTCGATCTTCTTAAGGAGCTACAAAACTCCTCATACTCCTCACCCTGGAGATTGTGTAACCCTGGTGATTGAGGTTTCATTGTGGACTTACTTACCCTGTCAATTTGTACCTCTCCACAAGCTTTGATCCAAAACCTTCATTCACACTCCCCTCCGACATCGGCTGGAGCGGTCAACCCAAACATTTCTCCAACATGGAGATGAGATTGTTCTGGTTCTTTTTGTTGTGCTCTGCACCTCCGCTAAAGCATAATGAAACCTCTAATAGCTCTGCTCCTAGTGCTGCGACCATAGCCCTAACTCCTCCCTTTTTCTTTGGTGGCATTCACCTCAAAAAGCCACAGGTCCCTCCTTGCATATCCAGCAGGTCAGACCAATTTGATAGGAACTAAGAACCAACACACAGTAATGATAGTGAAACAAACAAGTGAGGGAGAGGTCTGAGTATTATTTCACGGGATTGGGTAACTTGCAGAAGAGGAAATTTTCGCCATTCTAAATAATTTAATGGTTCACAAAGATACCCACTATACGATCCACTCCCCTTTCAATGCTGATGCTACAGAAAGCAGTTCCACTTTTGTCTCTCTCTAACTAGAGATGACAGTGCAGCATGCAGTCACTAATCATCAGTATTTCTTTTCTCACCCTACATATACTGACACGCGTGATTACGTTCAATTTATTCAATTTTTAAAATTATTACCGGTGCCAACGTCTCAGTGTTAGTGTTGTGTCCGGTGTACGTTCAATTTATTAATTTGACCCACTCTTCTCTTCAACGGGCCAAACAGTCACTTGCAAAGTTGAAAGGCAGATGCATGAAAATAAAATAAAAAACATATTTATTATCACCGCCGTACTCAAAGTATATGCTAAACTCCATGCCTAAGAACCAATGAAGATTTACTTATAAGAGAGGAAAGTTATAGTAAAAAATCATAAGCAAGCAGAAAACTCACCTCTGTACTGAAACCATTAGCGGTAGCAATTAGTGGATGGTTGTGATCCTTTACAAACCTTGTAACAACCCATTTTCCAGATTTTTCCATCTTAACTAAAATTGTTGCCTTGCAACCTTCTCGGGCACTGGGCCTTGGTCTTTTTTCTTGCCTCAATGTTCCCTTGCTATTGGGTGAGAAGCCTTGTTTGTTACATCCAAGTCGACGAGCAAGAGTTCTGCCATCGATTCCAGAACGCCGACGTTGCATAACGCGTACAAGAAATCCTACCCGTTTAGCATATTCAACATAAAATGTCCTGGCAGCTTCTTCAGAATCAAATTCCAAGCCCACATATGGCTCTTGAACTTCAACTCCATCAAATATACTTGTACTCTCTTCCTCGTTTCCCTTGTCCGAATCCACTACCACCAAATCCATAAAAATCTGCCCAATTTGTTATATCAACATATACATTATTACATTTTTGAATAGTTGTGAACTTTGATATGTAAAAACTGTGTTTCAGAATTCACAGATGCATACATACTCAATCAACCAAAATCACTTGAGAAAATAGAGATTAAGTATGGGAGTAGATACAATTATGAAACCAATTATGAAATCTTAGATATAACAACATTGCGTTTTGATTGACGAAAAAGGAAAATGAAAAAAAAAAAAAGAAAAGGCATGGGAGCGAAACTTACTGTGAAAGAGAAGAGAAAAGGTTTAGAGTGGCGCGTTTTGAAGAGGAATTGGAGCGAAGATGGAAATTTGAGTAAAGAGGAGAAATGATCTTGTGCGGTGAGTTGTATGTGAATCTGAAATAGATGACGGAGAATTAGAAGATGGTTAATTTTGGGATTGTTTTAATGTTTGTGTGCACTTTGCAATCCTTGCTGGTTAGACCAATAAGAAACTGACTCGTGTTAGAATCTAGCCGTCCCGATTGTTTCATGGTCATGAATTTTGGCACTTTTTCAAGTAACTCATTTGTTTTACGAAGATTATACTCTCTTCCGCAACATATATCCCTCTAACCCACATTTAATTTAGCTAGACTAAAATATTCTATTCCTGTATTATGTTTGATAAAAACACAAAATAAAAAAATTGACAAAATTACATTCCGGATAACTTGATTTAAGTTATCTAATAATAAAACATAAAAAGAAAAATGAATTGAAGCAAACAGTTAGAAACTGTGACCTAAAATAAATAAAAAAAAGCAAATCTGTCCGTCTTTCTACTTGGTTTTTTAGTTTATATATTAATTAAAGAAAAAATTGCGTTTCGAATAACATAAAGCTTAGTTTTTGGGTAAAAAAAGAAATTTAATTAAAGTCACAGGTAAAAACCGTGGGTTAAAGTAAAGAAAATTGCTTCTAAAAATAAAAAAAAACGTGGCCTTAGCTAGTAATCGTGAAATTTAGAACAGGCAACGTTTTTCTTTATGTTTGAAAGCAGTTTTCTTTACTAAAATGCCCATAGTTTTTAACTGTGATCTTATCTAATTTTCTTCTTTTACCAAATAATTGAACTGTATGTGTGTGATCCGAAACACAATTTTTTACTTATATAATATATAAATCAGAAAATTAAATAGAAGGACTTCCAATTTTTTTTTTTTTTTTACTTTCACGGTTTTTAACTGCTGCCTAAATTCATTTTTCGTTTTATAGTTAGAAAACTTATAGTTAAGTTATCCTGAATGTAATTTTGTCAATTTTTTCATTTTGTGTTTTTTATCAAACATAATACAAGGGTATTTTGGTCTAACTAAATTAATTGCAGGGGGTAGGTATTTTGGTCTAACTAAATTAATTGCAGGGGGTAGAGGAATAGATGTTGGGGTATCGGGTATAATTTTCTTGTTTTATTTTTATTTTTCTTAAAATTATGTTACACATAAATTTTGATTGGTTATTAGTATCGCACGAATTTGGGGTATTTTTTTGACACATTGTTGATTACTGTTTTCGTTAAGGTGGTTCTCTGGCAGACTGTTTCAGCTATATTTGGTGGTTCTATTTTGGCTAAAATATCACTACAATATTTTTGGCCTACAACCACGTTAAATTTTTCCACGCCTCAAAAACTGTGGCTACATATAAACTTTGGCCAGAGTTTTCAAACCATAGACATATGTTTTGAAATATTGAATCCAGAGTGTGAAATTGTGGCCTTCTCTTCAATTGCCACGGTTACAAATCACACTTATATTTAAGCCACGGTTAACAAACTGCAGACAGTTTAAGCCACACAAAAAAACCGCGACATTATAATTTTCACTTCAAACTGAGGCCCAAGCCCAAAAAAATATACCCCTCCAGAATTTCCCTCTTTTTTTATTTTATTTTCCCTCTCGTTATATTATTTTCTTTTCTAATTTTTTTTATTAAAAAAAGGAAGAAAAAAAATTGAAAAATCAAATACAATAACATTTTCATTCTAACCTAATTTGTTCCTTGCAAGCGTACGTGTTCACTTTCCTTGTGTCTCCATCCTCTGTTCGACCGTTCCTCTCCTGCGCGTAAGATCATTGTTCCTTCTCTGCTTCTTTGTTCCTCCTCTCTTCTCGTGCTTCTCATCTTCTCTCGTCTCCTCTGATTTTGTTTTGCATGTTAACCTAATCTATATTTTGTTTTGTAGTTTTGATTTCTTTGTTAAGGTACCAACAAAAGCTTCCCGTTGTCGATTACTGTTGGAGTTATCTGTGATAATACCGTAGAGTTTCATTTTTACCCTTATTGTTAGATTTTGTTATGGTGATTTCAAATTGAGTGGATTTGAAACTAAGTTTTTTAGTGACTAGGGTTGAAACTGATCTTAAATTGATTTTCTGTTTGGATAGTGTGATTTGATGCATGTTTGTTGATTTGATGCATGTTTGTCAATCTGATGCATGTTTATGTGAACTTTTTCTTGTTTCTTCTCATATTTGATCTCTAATTGTTGCCTTGACAAGCTCACAAGAATGGATTTTATTCCTCTAGAGCCAGCGTTTAGTTAAGAGTATTAGTTTTAACCATGTAAGCGCATGATTGGTAAATTTAATTTTTCAAATTCCTACTGATTATAGATCTGCTATACACATTCATCTTGAGGAGTAAAAAAGTTGATTTTCTAATATTTAATGGTTGATAGTTGGCAGTTTTAGAAATTACAGTGGGAGATAATCAGTAACACAAGCTTTGGTAATGGGAGTTTGTAGTATTCTATTAGCATCCCTCTGTTACGGCAAATTGTGAATCTTGATTTATAGCTTAGTATTCTATTAGCATCCCTCTGTTATGGAAAATTAAGACTCTCAATTCAGAAAAGTAGAAATCCTAGGATGTAGTTCTAAGTAGAGGTATATTACTGCACATATCACTGTGTTTAATTGAATTGCAGTAATGATATGAAGACATCATTTTTGTTTGTAGATGGAGATAATCTGAGGATTCTATTTTTCATATTTGCAAAGTTTTGAAAGTTTGTACTCCTAGCCTAAAAAGATGTTAAGAGTGGGAAGCTGGGAGCTTTTGGGCAGTTCATGTTATTTTGTGTGATATTTTGTTATATCTGTTGTGTTTATGTGTTAGATCAATGATTGAACTTATATTTTGTTGCATCTCTTGAAAATAAAAAACTACTCCTATATGAGAGAACATGTTTTGGTTCTGTTTTGAATATGTTATGTGTTGTATGTTTCAAATATTTGGATTATAAAGTGATGGACAAAGAGTGGACTAAATTTCCAAGGTTTAGTCAAGAGTACATCAACGATGTTACTCAATGTTTAGACTTTACCTACACTAATGGAAGACCTCAAGGAGATGAGCTCTTATGACCTTGTGCCAAGTGTAAAAATTTGTATTGAAAAATAAGAGATAATATTAAGGATCACTTAATATCCAAAGGTTTTCTAAAAGGTTATGACATATAGTTGTACCATGGGGAGAAACTACAAAGGTCTATGGAAATTGGTGATGAGATGGAGGATCAAGAGGAATCACATGAAGACATTCCTGGCTTATTGCATGACATACATATAGATAGGGAAAAAGCACATGGAGTTCATGAAGGTCCCAATGACGACGCTAGAAAGTTTTATAATTTGATTAAAGAGGTGGAATGAGAACTGTAACCTGGATGCAAAGACTTCTCTACTCTATCATTCATGATTCGACTCTACTTGTTGATACGTCTTCACGGCTGGAGCAATACCTCGTTCACTTCCCTCTTAGAATTGTTGAAAGAAGCAATGCCTGATGTAAACGTTCATGTATCATTTTACAAGACAAAAGCCATGATAAATGGTTTAGGCCTTGATTATAAAAAGATTCATGCATTGCCAAACGATTGCATGTTATTTTGGAAAGAGCGTGAAAAGAACAATTCTTGTACTATTTGTGAAGCTTCACGGTGGAAAGAAAATGCTTCAACTGAAGAATGTGAGTCTGAGCAATCGAAAAATAATTATAGAGTTCCTGAAAAAAATTTGAGGCACTTTTCGTTGATTCATAGACTATAAAGGTTGTTCATGTGTTCAAAGATATCCGATTGAATGAGATGGCATGAAGAAGAGCGTTCAAAGAATGGGGAATTGAGGCATCCTGCTGATGGTAAAGCGTGGAAGGACTTTGACAAGCTCCATCTATATTTTGCTCGTGAGTCCTGCAATGTAAGACTTGGCTTAACGAGTGATGGGTTTAATCCATTTAGGACAATGAGCTTATCTCATAGTACATGGCCTGTCTTGATGATGGTATACAACACACCACCTTAGTTGTCCATGAAACCTGAATATACAATGTTGTCATTGTTGATTCTTGGACCAAACTCTCCAGGAAATGATATTGATGTTTACCTCCAGCCATTAATAGAGGAGCTAAAGGAATTATGGTAATCCGGCATAGAGACATATGATTCTCCAATAAATCAAGCATTTCGAATGCTTTCAGCTCTTTTATGGATAATTAGTGACTACCCTGCTTATGCTATGTTGTCGAGTTGGAGCACCAAAGGAAAATTGGCATGTGCATGTGTTGTACCCCAAAATTTGCCCTCTCATTTGTTAAGTATTTACTCACAAGATCTTCTACGACATCAAGTTTGCAGCACTGATGCATCAATTTAGGCTTGGAATTGGCAAAAGGGCAAAATGGTCAATTGCATACTAAAAAGTCAAACTTTGACTTTTTGATCAACATCACATTTCAAAGATCAAATTTCATCAAGACATTCAAGAATATCAAGCTTAATCATTAAGAAGTCAAGAAAGTCAAAAGTCAACTTGAAAAGTCAAGATTTCCAAGACTTGGAAATTTTCTGTGTTTTTATACATGATAATTTCATCACTTCATGCCATTCTTTCACCAAGATGCAAGACGTTTCAAGGGAAACTTTCAACATGAAAGTTGTAGAATTCCATGATATCTACAACATTGCTTTACACAACTTCTGCTAAATATGCATGGATCTCAAGTTATAAATTCATGAAGTCATGGCATTTTCATTAAACACTTAGAGAAATTTCCAGCAGTTTTGGTCAGGTTTTTATCCCAACTTCTTGGCCAATTTTCATCAAGTTCCAGTTTGATTTAACAAAAGTGGTCAACATGAAAGTTTTAGAGGGTGTTTCAAGCTTTCCAAAACATCCAAGAGCATTAATTTATCATATTTGAGCTAGGAGATTCAAGGGCCTGAAGTTGGGCATTCATTCTTGAATTTCAAGCCATCTTTGTTGAAGAACACATAATCCAATTGGCATGATGTGCTGCATAATCTTACTTTGCAGGCCTTGTGACTTGCAAATCTTACCATAATTTAATGTTTACACAAGAGCTTGAGCTATTACCCAAGTGCTTGAGCCATTGTCCAAAAGATCTTTCCATTTATGGCATAAAGGCACCATTGATATTCTTGAAAAGCAAGCTTTTTGTACAAAGTTTGTCTTGAGCCCATACTTTGTTTATTTCTGATTTTACTCTACCATAAAACATAGAAATCAACCCCTCTAAACCAACAACTTTGGTACTTCATCTTGGAACCATTGAGTACTTGACATAGTTTGATACTTACATCCCAACCAAACCATAACATGTTGTGTTGTAAACATATTCAGCCTTTGTTCACAAGTCCTTTGCCTATAAATAGAAGAAAAATTTGCAAGACAAGGGGGTTATAAAAAAATAGAGAGAGAGGTTAGAAAAAAATAGAGAGAGAGGTTAGAAAAAATAGAGAGAGGCCAGAAAAAATAGAAGGAGAAACTAACACTCAAAATCATTTTTGCTGTCAAAAACCATATTTTTCCACAAAACCTCCACTTTTGAGCTTTGAAGTTCAAATCTTTGAATCCATACCTTGCAAGTTTTCTCCAAACAAACCATACAAACACTTCATATGTACCATATAGAAGTTGTTCAAACATAAGAATAACTTCTGTAACATCACTATCACCATCTTCCTAATTCAAAAACATACATTGCAACTTGATATGTTGGGGCGGTTCAACCATTTTCAGTACAAAAGGAAGGTTGGAGTTACTTCAAGTAGGTTCAAAGGAGCTCGATCAATCACCACTTTGCACCCGAAAACATCCGTACGTGTCCTAAAGCTTCCACTTCGAGAGGTAAACTTTCTCAAACTGTGATCTCATTGTTCATACATCATTTGCTTTTGTGCTCAAAAGACATAACAAGACAGATCTAAGAGAAAAACCTAACAAAAATTCAGACCAGAGGTTGACACGGGTGCCCGCGTCACACGATACGGCCCGTGTAAGCTTATTTGGGTTGAAAAACATAGTAAAATGCAGGGACAGAGGCTGACACGGGTGCCCGTGTCAATCGACACGGCCCGTGTCAGAGTTACTGGTTCAGACACGACCAAAAAAAGAGGAACAGGGGCTGACACAGGCGCCCGTGTTAGGTGAAACGGTCGTGTCAGGATGGCTGGGACCAAAAAAATGCATAAAAGTCATGGACAGGTCCTGACACGGGTGCCCGTGTCCACTGACACGGCCCGTGTCAGCTCGGGCACCAAATTTCTTGATTTTTGGAGATTTTTTAGGTTCTTTTCGACATATTGCATTGTTTGGAAGTGACCTAACTTTATAAAACCTTTTTGTTCAAATGAAACCTCAAAAACAATTTTCTAAACAATTAACTTATACTTAGGTTTTTCTTCAATGAAATTAATTACAAAATCTTTTGCTATAAAAAACCCTAAAAAACAATTTCTCTCACTTTACATCTTCTTGCATATTCTACTATTTTTGCATTATAAATTATGTAATTGTTAAAGCCTTGCAATAGTAATTAGGGTTTACTTTACTTGTCATCCCCATTTGTAAATTTATATCCCCCATCCCCAAGTGATGTAATGCATAGTAATTTTACTTTCCGCAATTTATCGCTTTCATATAATGTTAGTAATTAGGGTTTGTATGGAAAGATAAAACCAATCAAATAGAAAACCCTAATTCAAGACAAAATCAAGCATGAAAAAGGCACACTTTCACACAAGCACCCCTACGGTTACTCCACTTGGTTACCTTACACAAAAATGGCCATATTACGCATGCGAAGTATCTTAGCAAAAA